AAATATAAAAAACGAATAATGAGTCTACGGAACGAAATTTCAGTAGTAAAAACTACCCAATATAGTGTGAAATATATATAATAAGAGTGCCTCTAACTGGACCATACTTTAACTACGAGAACAGCAAGAGATCGGCTATCGCTCGAAGGAGCGGTTATAGACTGAGCATTGATGAATCAGTCAGTCAGTCAGGGCAAGTAATTTTATATGTATAGACAACCATTCTTAACAACTATTTACGTTCTTAATCGACAACAATCGCACGACCTCGTACGAATAAAGTTCAAAATCTAGTGAATCTAAATGCAGTGACAAATTAATAATTCATAGTTATGAATATTCTTATTTACCTTTATTGGGAATTACCTCCTACTAAGGCTTGTCAAGCTTTCAAATATTTGCTCACTAAAAGAAACTATTAGTCTAAGTGTATATAATATACATGTTTTTTTTACGTGTTATTGAACATTTAACACTATCTATACTAATATTATAAAGCTGAAGAGTTTGTTTGTTTGTTTGTTTGTTTGAACGCGCTAATCTCAGGAACTACTGGTCCGATTTGAAAAATTATTTCAGTGTTAGAGAGCCCATTTATCGAGGAAGGCTATAGGCTATATATCATCACGCTAAGACCAATAGGAGCGGAGCACCAATGAAGAATGTTTAAAAAACGGAGAAAAATTATTACTATTGAGAGACGCAGACGAAGTTGCGCGGGTCAGCTAGTTATAAATAAACGTCATCTTATGCAAGCAAGCAAACGACGACCGTGAAGCAAGCATTCGCTTGTTTGCTTATGAGGTTAGGTTTTCGATAGGGGAATCACCTGTATTCACTTTACATAAAGCTAATTACTGCAAAAAATTGGATTGCCCGACTGCACCTCGGGTTGGGAATGTTTAAAGATTAAACGGAAAAAAAGGGTTAGAGTATTAAGTTATGTAATACCTATCGACTATTTATTAATTGTATAGTACAAAATAAATCTGCACGAGTTGTTGACAATAGATAGAAAACAATTTGAAGTTCATAATACAGCTGTTTGTTCATGATGACCAACAACAAAATTGTTTAAAAATCTATACAATCAACTTTGTTAACAACATTGTTATACAAGTAGCTGATATGCCGAGTATGTTATATACATATATTATGTATTCTAACAATGACTGTTTGATATTGTTTATGCGTAGGCAACTATCAGGGTCAAGAGGTCATCTTTTGTTCACATAAAGAAATATAAACAACATTACGTTTTGTAACCTTCATTTATAAGGAGTTAATTCCAGGTTTTGTAGGGAGAAGAGAGGAGGGGGTTTGATGCGTATGTATGTCTTATGTCTCTGGGTAGACAAGGTAGTAATACCATGCAGACGGCGATTCAATGGTTGATTTTTAGAAGTAAAGAATTATAACATGATGTACTTAATATAATACTAATGAGTACGGGGACTTTTATGGCGGGATGCAGGTAGAGGACTAAGTAAAATACGTGGTGAAATAAATGGTAAAATACGTGGTAAAGTATATGGTCCTACGAAATGGGGTAGCCCGACAAAAAATAGTTGAAGTGGTACAATATATACCAAACAAATAATGCTAGAGTATTATTTATGAGACAAGTTGTTTAACATGGCGCCAATACCTTTACGGTCGGATGATGAAAGATCTTGATTGCGGGTAAAACCACAGGTAGCTGTTAGTTTATTTTTTAACCGTCTTCAAAAGGAGGAGGTTCATTCGGATGTTAAAATATATATATTGTTAAAATATGTATGTTCGGGCATAACTCCGTCACACATAGACGGATTTTCTTTATTGTTCGAAAATGTTTATTCCGAAATTCCGAGGTTCCATTTAAATTTCATGTAGATCTGATGCTGAGTTTCGGAGACACACAACGAAACTCTTCAAAATATGACAGCAAATCTGTTTGCTGCTAGGTTGTTAGTGCTCTTATTTATTATTTTAAAAAGACAACTCCTCCATTAAGAATATATCCTGTGTGAGACAAACATACATGAAACGGACACAAAGAACACCCAGACTCAGAACAACAACTTGTGGATCACACAAAGAGTCGTCCCATGCGCGGTTTGAACCCACAACACTTAGGCGTAGTAGGAAGCGGCGTGGCGACCGCCGCTATATAAAGTTCAATATAAACACTCAGTTCTAGATTTCATTTATTCGAGATTGCCTGCATCAAACTAAATTGCGCGTGTATGTTAAAATGGAACCAGGGCAAAACGTTTTTATTTGGTATTTAAAAGTAAATGAAACAAAATATTTTGGAGTACGGCCTTGTGCGTTGATTAATCTGTGTTTATCTGTCAATAGTTTCCTTTAATGTATTAGTTTAAATGGTCACTTCGGTACTACGCCACGCCGAGTTTTATTCTCTCGAGACATCTTCTCGAGATTCTTATTTGGAAGTAAGATTTGTGGATCACACAATTGACACTCGAGAGCATTACATCTGGGCCACTTAAAAATACCTAAAAATATTGGCTCTAAGACTGTTAGCTTCGTAAAATAAGTTGTGTGAAATACACAATGTTGTTAAAAAGAAAGTAACAAAAATCATATGTTACTTTGTATTCATTTATAATACAATGTAATATGTTGTGCAATGCAATGTAATGTAAATGTTTCACAGATTATGTTGTAATAATGTTGTTTGTAATAATGTGTATTTATATAAGTATTGCCAGGACTGACTGCATTATAATCAATAATACTTTGTTATTTACTTTCAACCGAAATGTAATGTTGTTTGCTGTATAAATATTTTATGCAAGTATTAATTTTTTTACACCAAAACTACCCATGAATTCGTCTATCTACAGTCTATTTGTCCATCTAAAGGCTGTCTGTAAGAAGACGTCTGTGGAAGTGTACTGTAGAAGGGCCTTATTAAAAGCCCTCGTAACCGACTTCGGTTTCGGCTCGGCTTCGGTCGGCTTTTAATAAGGCCCTATATACTTATATAGACGGCCTGATGAATGTGGAAAAGTCGTGGTATGTCAGGATCATTTCGTAAGTGTATGTAAAAAAACCACCATCGATGACCAACCAACGACATCTTAACATTGTTCTGGTATATTGACAATTTCTGTATAATGATTTCTTTGACTCTATCCATTAATTGAAAAGTATACATATAACAGATCTTGGATAGGTATAATTTATTTCTTTAGTAAGAAATATTTGACAAATCAGAGATTGTTGCTATTGTGTGTCTAAGGCTTTATAGTCTTCGTAAAAGATGATTTTGTTATGTCAAAAGATATTTTGAGTCTGAGTTTTGAGTCACATATGATATCTATGTCGTCTGTTTAACGAAAAATACAGAAGGGGTTCAATTTGGGTTACCCGAAATAAACTGTTTCTTTTTTAACTTAGTGTACACTAAAGATTACTTATTAAAGTAAGTTGCGAGTTGTGCTACTTTATTTTTTGCTTACGTCTCGCTTTGTTGGCGTCTAAATGGTGGTAAAACGCGTCTAAATGGTGGTACAACGCGTAAAAACGGAGTTAGTAGTACGCATTGACTCTAGTGCAGGGGGAGATTTGGGGGAGACCTTCGTTAAGCAGTGGAAGGCAATAGGCTGAAGTATAAGTATTGACTCTAGTGATATAAATTGATATAAAAGTTCTCAGTTAATCTTCAAATGCAAACCCAACTTTAATTCAACCAAACAAACTTGAATGCGCTTCACGATCGGAAATACATTTAGCTTTAGCGTCGGACCGATAAGAAGAAGGCGAAGAATATTCTGGAGCTCAGCTTGAAATTTCTTGTGCTTTGTGGTCGGCGCTCGAAGCGAATTCCAGCGTTGACCACAGGGCACCGGAAATCTAGACTTCAATTTGCCGGACCATGAAGCAACACGTGCGGGTAAGAGATCTTAGGACCTAATGTCATCCCGTTTACCCCATTTTTTGTAGAAGTTTATGATTGATGTACGACAAAGCTCGTGAGGATATCGCTGGAATGTGCTGAAGATTGCTGTGGTCGAGGAGAAGATACCAGAGTAAGTCAGATATATATAAGACATAATGGATCTTCTTCCAAATTGATTAGAGGAGGTCAAAAGTGCCTAAAGAGGTAATATTTTAGTTATTATAATTAAGGTTTTTAATGTCAACAAAAACTTTTATATTGTTTATTTGTTTTTGTATTTTATCGGTATTTTTTGTTATTGTTAAAACATAAATATTTCAGCAAGTTTATTTTTTGTTTATTTTTTATTAGATATTATCCTATTTACTATATTGCCAAAAAAAATCCTAATTATTTTTTAAAGTAACGTTAAGTGGGTAAGTAAATTGTGTCTCTGAGTGTAGATATTATTCAGAGTCGGTCTAGACGATCTATTAAGCTCATTGATTAGGCTCGTCCTTTCACCCTTATCAAGTTATATTTAAATAAAATTTCATCTTCTTATATATTTCTTATGTTTTCATAGCTTTTATTCTTTATATCTACAGTTCTGATTGAGGTACGCAATACGTTTTCGTCTAAGAACAGTTACTAGAACGATATCATTTAAGCTTTAGCCCATTTAAATTGGTTGAGTTGAAGGGATACTAGATTTAAATCTCATCCAAGTTAAACTGACTACTAATTCTTATCGTTTTTTTAAATATTGAAGTGTTTATTTTTCTTTTATTTTATTTACTAGCTTTTATTTCTGAGTGTAAATGTATAGATGTTTAAATAATCAAAATTATGGCCGAAAACATGATATGTACTTTAACCATCCACTGCGTGTGCGTTTACTTTATTATACGTTTTAAGTAAGTGCGTTTTTAACCGACTGCGCTAGAAGGATTTTTATTAAATGGTATATTTAATTTTGTATTCTTCTTTCCCAATAAGTTGATATTTACCTGATTAAAACGGAAAGCTGCGACTGTGAAAGTAACATTGAAACATAAATAGCTTTTCTCATCCAAGCAGTTATTAAAATGGTTTTATCTTAATTTTCCAGGATCATATCAACCGAGCAATGAGCTGATGCTGCGTTTCTACAGTTACTTCAAGCAGGCCACAGAGGGACCGTGCGATAAGCCCAAACCTGGTTTCTGGGATGTTGTGAACAGGTAACTTCATCCTATATTAATAAAATATTATAAGTTTCATAATTAAACACGGTCTTTTGTCTGGGGGTCTTACGGGGGTCTTAGAGGGGTCCGTACGCAAAAAGAAAGATATGTTGGGTATTTTTATAAAACCAAGTAAAATATATTTCAAATTAGTGTCATTGCCCAATATAGTAATTTATGTAGCATGTATCGAGACTAGTACGTCTACGAATTGCACATAATATATAGAGCACGGCCCGATCTGGAACATGAAATTTTGACAAAAAATAATCGCGAAACCCTGCTATTCATCTAGTGATCACCAATTAAGTATATTTTTTTTTTATAGATTTTATAATTATTATCATTTAATTTATTAAAAATATTGTAATACATGAATCATTTTTTTACATTGCAAGTTTTATTAATGCTAAAATGATCTATGATTTATATAATCTGCATGTATTAAACTCATGATTCCCGCGTTCTAAAAATTATAAACTATCTAAACTACCTATATAATTAATTAAGTTGCGAGCGTTCTTTGGTTTCAATAACCGCTTCCAAGAACCGTATTCTTGTTTGCCAATAATACGATACTAATTATACCTACGGAACCATAAACGCTACTAACAGTTCTTGTCCCATTTTTATTATAAAACAAGTATCTTTGACATGCAACATAAAATCGAAAGTTTAAAGGCAGCATTGCAGACATGGTTTGTTGTTAAATAAGTATAAATTAGAAAGTGTTATTGTGTCATTACGTTTTATTTAGATCTCGTATGGAAGGGGCGACTTCGATGCGAATCGTCTCTTTCTCGTTTTAGTTTTGTAAAGCCTTCGCATTTGATTCTTGGGCGTTGAACGTGGGTTAAAGCGTAAATCGGAGTTTAGTTCGTTTGATCGAATTTCGATAATTGATCGATCTGAAATCGGCATAAGTTAGAGGGATTTCCTTTCTAGGGAACACCTGGTTCTCCAGCTAGTGGTATCCGAGACGCGTGCGGTTTTTGGTGGGGCATGTCCGACATAACCACCGGTGGTATCTGAGGGGATTTCCGCAGACAAAAAAAGGCGTACAATAGTAATTTTCATTAAACTGTATTGTGTACTTGTAATTTAAAAAACGTAAAATCATAATAATCACCTTCAATATAGGCTTAAATTAATAGATTTAAATGATGCCGTGTAAATAAATCTACAGAAAGAAGCAAAATTAAACACATGCTAAGAAACTTCAATGAATGTCTAAGAAAAGGAAACAGCACAACACACACAGCAACCACCATCTACACACAACTTGGTTTTGGCCCATAAATACTGTTAAAACCAGCCTCGAGCTAAAAACAAACATAAAATAATAATAAAACCATTTATTCCCAAAATAAGATTGCACAATAAAACTTAAAAGACATAAAATCACAATAACGGTACAGAAGCATAGTAACAATAATTTTTATCAATATCTATTCAAAATATATTCCAATTGCTAGTGGTTATCGGAAACAAGTCGGGAACCAATTTTTTTTTTTTGGACTTGAGCCTTTATTCTTTTCATTTCTCAAGGTATTTCGTCACAGAGTCTCATTACCGGCCTCAGGTGTAATCTTGAATTGAAATTTCTGTGAATCGCAGTAAAGAATTGAAACGGTTTTTACAGAAAGTAAAAGTTTAGTATGTTGGTAAGAAAAATAATAAATTTTCAAAATATTTTTGAAGTAATTTAACAGAGTAATGAAAATTAAGCTCCCTTTTTTTTTTTTTTAACGTGTGGAAATCCCCTCGGACCGTCACCCCACCAGGGTTTGCGGTGGGGTGGTGTGTCGGACTCGGACCGACTAAAACCACACGGTGTGCCACTCTGCGCCTGTAATAGGAGCTGTTATTAAGACATCCGGACCCCTCCTAGCGCCGGCCCGCTCCTGGTGCGGGCTCCGTCTCAAATTTTTTGTTTCCTCTCTTTAGGCGACGTCCGGCACACACGGACGCCGCCCCCTCGCGGCTGGCCAAACTAATGCGGGTGGAGGGGAAACATACCCCGTCCAACCGCGGCCACACTCAGGGCGGTGATAGGCGCGCTTCCGCCGCCCGGTTCGCCGGCGGCGGATCGGGTCCGAGTGAAGGTCGTCCTCCCGGGCCTTCTCCGCCGCCTCCTTCTGCGAGATTACTTCCTCGCAGAAGGTTGCGACCGCGGTAAAACAACTGTCGCTACCGGCCATGGAGCGTACTACGGCCGGTAGCGAGAGATCCACTCCGATGACTGCAGTGAGGGCCCGGCGCTGCGTCGCCCATGCGGGGCATACCGCCAGCGTGTGCTGGGCCGAGTCCTCACTGCAGTCGCAGTGGTGGCAGGCGGGACTCAGTTCCCTCCTAGCGACCAAGTGCAGGTACTTTCCGAAGCAACCGTGCCCGGAAAGCACCTGTGTCAGGAAGGTAAGGGTCCCGTGCTGCCGCCCTGCCCACTCGGCGATGACCGGCTGGAGAGCTTCCACGGCGGCGAAGCCAGCGCGTGGAGTCTCCAGCCGGAACGACCAACGAGCCATCGTGGCTCGGCGAGCGGCTTCGCGCCACTCGCGAACTTCCTCGGGCGGAGGGCGAAATCCGCTCTCCGCCCGGGAGTCAGCCACTCGCCGATAAACTTCGGCGAGCACTTCCGCCTCCAAATCCCACGGAGGAGTTACGGCCAACGCGCATGCCACCTCCGTCGAAACGGTGCGGTAACCGCGTATGGCTCTGACCGCCATTACCCTCTGAGGGCGCCAAAGGCGAGCCCTATTCTGGGCGGTCAGAGCCGCCGCCCACACCGGTGCACCGTATAGTGGCATTGACCGGACAACCCCCGTGTACAGCCGTCTTGTCGCGACGCTGGGTCCACCCAAATTTGGCAAAAGTCGCCCTAGGGCAGACGCAGCGCCGAACAAGTCGGGAACCAAATGGGACCTCTATTCTTAAATATTAATTTCACTGTTCACAGCTCGTTTGTAATCAAAGGTTTAAAGTTACTTAATAAACCATCTTAAGCTTAACTAAAAAACAATCCATTTAGTTTTAAAATCGCCTCGGCAATTTATTTCTAATTTTTTATACTTATGTCAACGTATGTCGACATAACAAATGTCGTTCAAAAATAGGTGAGACATATTGATACCTTTTTTTAGTTGAGTATTTATTATATAAGTGGCTAAAAGACCTCCTAACGTCTTAAAAGATGTCATTTATGTTTGTTTTTATCGAAATAAACAAAGATTGTTCAAAGTACTTGATAATTAGCTGTGATTATTCAAACAATTTGATGCTAGGTTTACAAAACCGGCAAATTGATATTGATTACGAGAAGTATTTTAGAACGTTTTGTGTATGACATTAGTATAGGTGTATTGTTGCCAAATTGACCAGAGATAATTATTTAGGTCAGAAATTAATACATTGCAGGTCAGCCGAAAAGGTTCATGGTACAAATAGAAAACCTGTCAGGTTACTTGTAAAGTTGCGGTGCTGTGCACTTGGCAGTTATTTAAAAAAATCATGGTAGGCCTCCTGCGCTACTACTGTTGTGGGTTCGATCCCCACATGTTACAACATTTTGTGTGATTCACAAATTGTTGTTCTCCAAAAGTCCACCGCAACACAGAATATATTCCTAATGCTAATAAATACTTAAATAAACTGCCTGAATTCAATGACATAAAGCATGACATAAGTGACAAAAATAACCAAATAGTAGTAGAATGTTTAAAGGGATTTTGTTTTTTTTTGCATTCAATAATCTACTGAATCGATTTTTAATTCTTTAAAGTATAGTAATTAAATTGATAACAATAAAGAGATCCGATAAATTAAAAAATACAATTAGACCACATTGTCTATGATGCAAATCGCCTAAGCAAAGCACTAAGGCGATTTGCACCTAGGGATGACCTTAACTTTGTCTGGCAAGACGTTACAACTAGCGAAAGTGTCTGGCAACTTAGAAAACTTGTTTCAATCTATACCCAAGTATCTCAAATAAAATACAACATTAATGCTATTACTAAAGTAGAATTAGAATGTAATTACACAAATCAAGGGTGTCTCTATGAATGACACGACTTTTAATATTACCCTAAAAATACATAATATAAAAAAGTAAACTATGAGAGAAGTAGGTCTCAATTTTTTGCACCAGTAGCCCTCAGATCAAATAAAAAAGTCAAGATGGAACTTTGCGAAGAAAGAAATGAGGCTGGTTTTATAAACATGGCCATCATAATTTTATTTTATTGAAAATATTAGTTTCTACGATAACTTATGTGGAAAATGCAATTCCATCAATCTCTTGTAGTTTGATTTTTACATCCTTTCGAAATTCGGAATTTTACTTGTAAATATTGTCGACATTTTTATGATGTTTTACTGACAACGCGTAGTTTCGTAGTACACGTGTGCGTGTAATTGTTTATGTACACGCCAAGGCTTAGTTTTAATTGGCCTCACTTGTTTGTTCACCATCTTAACTGTTGTATGTGTGAGCTTCGGCCTATGCCAATGCTAAATCATCCGAACAAACTCTGTGACAACTTCTACATCGGTACCTGAAAAACTTTCAGCTTAGAACTGGAGAGGGGTTTTATTAAAGGAAGGTCTAGCGATGCTGGCATTTGAACCACTGGGCCTGACTCATTTTGGTTCTTAAAAACGTCGTCTCGGAAGCAAAGGTGTTGTAGTTATATTGAAAGTATTGAAGTCTATTTTATTTATAGATCGGTAATTTGACAGATACAGACTCCTCGGTGTAATTGAGTTATGTTAGTAAGTCTACAAGTTTTGGTGATAGAATTATTCCGTTAGTTAGTCTAACTAGTCACTTAGGTACTTTTGTTTTTATTTCCAGAGCAAAATGGGAGTCGTGGAACAAATTGGGCAATATGACGAAGGATGAAGCAATGCAGGCATACGTCGATGAATTACATAAGGTATTATAATATTTGATTGATAGTTTTATTTCGTCCTTTATCATGTTTAGTTTTATTCCATGGTGTATTGATAATGTTTCATCATCATCATCGACAGCCTTTAATAGTTCACTGCTGGACATTGGCCTCTCCTTAGAGAGGAGGTTTTGTATAGGGACGGGTTAGTATAGGGTTGGTTTCAAGTTTTTCTTCTCTTTGCATTGCTGTTGTACTGGGTAGTTTGCTGCCTCAGTCCACTCTTACGACACCCACGGGATGAATAGGGATGGTGACACTACGTGTTCCTAATGAGTCACCACGCGGACATTGACATTGATAATGTTTATAATATAAGTATAATGAACGTAATATAATGCTGAATAGCTTGCAGGTGACATCTGGGGCGGTATACTATGGCGATCTTGTGTCAACTAGGGTGAATTTCCGTGCGTTTAGGCGATTCTGCCATACATATTATAGAAATCAAACATAGCTCACGTAGGACCCATAATATTTGTGGCCGTGGTGCTTCCCTGTTTAAAAGGGTGTATGCCCATTTTACTTCATTTTGTCTCCCGCTTTGCTAAGGAGGGAAGTGGATTTACTGTATTTCCAACTCCTCCAATTTTCTTCTGATTAATTTCGTTGCGGGTTCCAAGACAGTTTTATTTCTTCCTGGGACTTCCCGAGTGTCACAACTCGGTGTGTTCGTGGGTCACTGCTGTGGATCCTGGTGTACAGGAGTTACAGTGGTGGGCGTGTGGGTGGGATTAGTCCCAAAACTTACTTTTACTTCTATTTAAATATATTGATATATTTTATTAGTTTAATTGTTGCTTGATAATATAATTGCTAAATAAAAAACATAAATACTTATTTTTGTAAATACAAACATATAATACATAGATACACCCATACCAAATCAAATATTAAATGCTCGTGCACATAAATGTTTGATTTGAGCGCGATCGAACCCACGACCTTCAACGTAGTAATCCGTTACACAAACTGTTACGCCATCCGGCAGTCCAAGTAAAACCAAGTGAATTATAATTAAGTACAGCGTTGGCCAAAAATATTAGGCACCCGACATTTTACTTAAAATAAAGGAAAAAAACAACTTATACTTCTTGAATTGATTTATTACCATTAAATTACACAAAAAATAATGAAAAAACTTAAAATCTAGTCGGTCCACCTTTGGATTTAATTAAGCTTAGTACAATCCTCCCTTGTAACCTCCTCTTTAATCTTGCACTTCAAAATGCTTCAAAGATGTTCAATTGGGTTCAAATCTGGTGACTGCGCTGGTCAATCAAACAAGTCAATGTTGTTTTCAGTAAACCAACTCCCTCTAAGTTGGTATCGCCGAAAATACTCGTTAGCGAAGGCATAAGCGCAGTTTTAAGTACTTTTATGTACTTTTCGCTGTTCATACGACCTTCGCAAACAAACATTTCGCCAACCCCATCATTAGCCATGCAGCCCCAGATCATTATGCTGCCTCCTCCATGCTTTACTGTCGGTACGACGCAATCTGGATGGTATTCTTCGCCCACACGTCGCCTCTCGAAGGTCACACATGGCGTTCCAAATATCTGTTAAAAAAAGAAAAAAAAACACTTTTTTTAAACTACCTTAACTTTTATTATTTTAGTTATATGAATAACTGACCATGATTATTAATAACAAAAGCAGTAAAATTTACTTACCTCAAAGTTAGACTCGTCAGACCATACCACATTGGCCCAATCTTCCTCAGTAAAATGTTGATGCCGTAGAGCCCATTCAAGTCGTTTTCTTTTGTTAACTTCTGAAAGCCAGGGCTTCTTCCTGGCTTTGCATCCTTTTAAGCCTGCTTCTCCAAGTCTTCTTCTGGTGGTCCGAGCACTTATTGGCTTTCCAGCCTCTTCGGACAAAGTAGCAGCAAGCTCTGATGATGTTTTCTGCCGATCTTTCATAGATTCGCGTATTAATTTTCTATCCTCGCGCTTCGAAGTCACACGTTTTCTGGCTGTTCTTGGTTTATTAGCGTGACTGCCAGTCTCAGCAAACCGCTTGATAGCAGATTGCACAGCGCAACGCGAACATTTCACAAACTTAGCAATTTCTTTTTGCGACTTCCCTTGTTCATGGAAAAGTTGTATTTTTACTCGGTTTTCCAAACTAATTTCACTTCTTTTCCGCATTTTTAAATAAATTACACGTCAAGTTAATCACTATGTTAGAAATAAAAGCTTGTTTACTCGTTAGAGTCCTGAACACAAGTGACCAAACATTGACTGATAAGAACTCATAAAAACAAATCCTTTGTTTTCAGTCACCAGGTGTTTTATGACCATAACAGACAGCTGCTTGCTTTTCTAGGAAGTTATTTGTGACCCCGGCATGCCATCTAAGATTCAATCAGTAAACATAAACTTCAATCAGTAAGAATATTCATTGTTCAATCAGTAAACATGAATTGTGTATTTTTCTGGGGTGCCTAATACTTTTGGCCAAGGCTGTTGACGGAATTACTGTGAGATAAAGCGATTTCTGATAACGTCGACTTTCGATTCTCATTTCTAACTTGAATCCATGAAGGCGCCATATAAACACCAGTGCGCAGTATTTTCAACCGACTTCAAAAACATAAATGATGAGGTTCTCAATTCGACTGTATTTTTTTCAATCGATTAAGTATTTAAGCATCACCCTGGAAGAGTACTTTTTTGGGTTAAAGGGCAATGAATAAACACAGAATATGCATGAATAAACAGTGTTAGGAATTGTTTCGATTGTTTTGACCGAGTCAGTGAGGTCACATAGACCCCACCTACCTCCTAGTTCTGGGGGGAGACTAAACGGGCAGAACAACGGAAATTATCACATAGCCGATCTGACCGCATTAAATGTTTCATATCAAAAACAAACACACACGTTTATCATCATTTGCCTACCCTTATCCCAATTTTACTTGGGGTCGGCAGTAAGTATAATTCTTCCATTCTACTCTATTATGCGTCATCTCACTGTTTATTCCCTTCCTAGCTATTCTCACTTTGGTCTTTGGTTTTCCTCTTTTCTTGTACCCTTCAACTCCCATACCTAAAACTTTCTTCACCACGTTTTCCTCATCCCTTCGCATGACATTTCCATACCAAGATGAGCTATTACTTCTTATCTTTTCATCCAGAGCCGCTGCTTTCAGACTCCCTCGCATATACTCATTCCTAACCTTGTCCATCCGAGTCACACCACACATCCATCTTAGCATTCCCATTTTGGCTACGTGCAGGCGTCTCTCATCCGTTCACTTAATGGGCCATCTTTCAGATATATATCCATACAGGACGGCAGGTCTGATGATAGTTTTATAAATTTGTCTCTTCAGTGTTAAGTTCCCCTTAACTGAACTGACCTTACATGAATGCTAGACTCTCTGTACATAGCACGAATCAATTCTACATACTTAACAGACACTCTTTCTTCATATCATTCTCTTTCTTATCATATGTCTTTTCGAGGTCCACAAACACCATATGCAAGTTTTTGTACGCACTCCTGTATTTCTCACATAGTTGACTTTTTGCAAATATAGCATCTGTTGTCCCGCGTCCTGGCATAAACCCAAATTGACTTATGTTTATCTAACTCTCATCTCTTATTCTTTTCTCTATCACTTTCTCCCAGACTTTCATAGTATGTGACATAAGCTTTATTCCTCGATAGTTGTTGCATTTCTACACATCACCTTTATTTTTAAAAATGGGTACGAGTTTGGTTTGACACCATTCCTTTGGGATTACCTCTTCATCCAACAACATATTGAAGAATAGAGTCAGCCACTCATATCCGTCTTCCTTCAGTAACTTCCAAACTTCCACTGGTATACCTTCGGGGCCGACTGCTTTTTCATACTTCGTACTGCCAATCTGACTTCATCTATACTAATCTCGTTCACCAGTTCGACATTCACAAACACATCCACATCCTTCAGCACTCAGCTCCATTCGTTCTCTTTATTCATAAGTTTTTCAAAGTAAGTTTTCCATCGCTCTTTTATATCTTCATCTTTAACCAACACTCTCCCCTCTTCATCTTTTATACATCTCACAATGCTTTAGGTCTTTTGCTCTTTCTTCCCTGTTTTTTGTAATGCGGTAGTGCTCTTTTTGACCTCTAGGTTCATGTAGGTGTTTAAACATATTGTATTGGTACTCGGGCTACTATTGTTCTTCAATCAGTCAGTAGACGTCAGATATATATATTCGTGATTGAATATCTAATGTTTATGGTATAGGGGCCTCCCTATACCATAAACAAACGAGGAGATGGGTCACCTAAGGGTAAGTGACTACCACCAGGGATACCATGACTCAAGAGTCACAATTGAATAGTCACTCTTTGAGTCCCCCTCTCCCAGAAATGGAGAGGGATTGGGGTTTTGGGCGCCGGTGAGCCAGCCCCTTTATACCGAAGCATAGCTCTCCCACGGTTAATCACATCATCTGCACATCAACAAGTTTTAATAGTCCACTGGACATAACTCCTCTCCTTAGAAATACCACGCTGGCGAGACGGATTGGTATAGGATTTGTGTCAAGTTTACGAGTACTTTCTCTTTGCAGTACTGTTGTCCTGCGTAGTTTGCTCCCTTTGTCGGCTCTTACACACGGGATGAATAAGGGTAACACTCCGTATCCCTAATCCGTCACCACACGAACCCTCAGTTAATATTTTGACACAACTGTTTTTTTTCTGTGGGTACGATACCCTTGAAATTCAGTTTCTTTTATGTTATACTATTTCTTATTCTTTCAGATAGTAGAAACGATGTCATACAGCTCAGATGTGGCCTCATTTCTGTTGGTGGACGATGACGATCAAGGATTTCCCAATACAGACCTTGAGCTGGTCGCCGGAGACGTACTGGCGAGGGTTCGTTCTGCACACAATTCACCCATAGGTAAGCTATATACCACATAACTTAATGAGGAGGAACAGGTGTCATGTCCCTCCAACACAAAAGGAACCACCGATCAGGCGGGGTGATCATGCCTGGCGGGCCGCGGTCCAACGGCTGATTTTCGGAAGTTATATACATGCTAATCGGCGTGAGAACTTTCATTTCGCGATACAGGATTAGCTGGTTGGCATTGCAGTATATTTTTGTTTGACTGCATATGGAAGTCAAGCAGGCAGGCAAGTGAGTAGACGTGTTACCTGATGGTAAGTGACTATCGTCGTCGCAAGAGTCACTAGTGCGTTGCGACTTCGTTCGCGTGGAATTTGATAAACGCTTAGTGGGTTCGAAGCCCGGGCAAAATTTTATCGAGGTTTTTTGAGAGATAAAATAGCCTTAGTTACTCCTTATATGGACGGCTACCTGGTATTAGAAGATTATCTAAATCGGTTCAGCCGATTTGAAGATTACCCTAAACAAACAAACCGACAGACAAAAAATATTTAAACTGATTTTTGGGCATAGGTATCGTGCAAGTAACCGTGTGAACATGAAAAAAACCTATTATTTTGACATTACAAACAGACACTTCAATTTTATTTATTTGTATAGATGTATAATTGATAAAAAGTAAAATAACTATTTAATTATTCCCAGGCTCTCGTTCAGTGAGCGGTGCATCATCTCCCATCCGCGGGCCCACGCCTCCGCCACGACAACGACACGACTCCGAGGACGAGTACATAGATACGGTCGATGTTAGTATTGTACGTATGGGGTTGCAACTAATATTTAGCATTAAATGTGAGCGTCGACAGGTAACTAAACTGGTGATGGTTTAATGTGTGACTGTGTTCAAAATTGTTGGTCTGGTTGAGGTGGGTGTGTAGGAGGGGACGAATTTTAAAACTCATATTTTCAATCTTATTTCTTTTGTATTTATTAAAGACTAGTTGGTACCCTCGACTTCGTTGGCGTGGAATTTGAAAATCGTTCGTGTGTTCGTGGGTTAGTGGGTTCGATTCCCGGACCAGGCAAAATTTTATAGCCTAAGTTACTTTTTATATAGACAGCTACCTGGTAGTAAAATATTATCAAAATCGGTCCAGCCGTATTCAAGATTAACTTGCACGAACAGACAGACAGAGACAAAAAAATATTTAAACTTGTTTTAGGTATAGGTATCGTGCAAATAACCGTTTGAGCATGAAAATAACCTATTACTTTGACATTACATACAGACACTTCAATTTTATTTATTTGTATAGATATACGGTATAACTCTCTTGTAAAGTCTTGAGATTTCCCACTAGTCTTCGACGTTTAGAACCTAACACTTACATCCAAAATTACAACTCTAACCGCCAGTCCAAGAGATAATCCATTTATAAGAGAAATGTATTGATTTTCAGAGTGATCCTGAAGTCCCCGTATCAGTCCCGGTACCACAGCAGCAAGTCCAGCAAGTGCAGAGGACGACAGCTCCCCGCCTCAGCAATGGACACGCGCACCAGATCACATCGCAACTCACACGTAAGTTAAGTTTAAAAAGCAAAATATATTTTACAGCACTATCTAACGAGAACGAGCCAAACTAAATTCGGTCGTGCATCGCAATGAGCGAATAATCCTACACACGGCCGTCTGACCCCAGACTAGGCAGGATCCTGTACTATGGTAACCAGACTGCTGATAAACATACTTAAACATTTCTAAATACTGCTTTTTCTCATTTCTTCCCTTCTCCTTCTGTGCGAGACAGTATTTCTTGATATTTAGTTATTTTTATGTTCGCTTTAAAATTCTCAACCATAGCTTTTCATTCATTTCCACACTACCCTGCGATAGACTGGTAGAGAAAGTCTATGGCATTAAGTCCGTCATTGTACATTTTGTGCATACAATTTTCATCCTCATTACCTGGATAGTTGGCGCTCCAGTACTGTGCGCTTTTCGAGACACTTTTTGCCCCGCACAACCAATCTGTGGAACGGGTTATCGTCTGCGGTATTTCCTGACCGATCCGACCTACGGCCTAAAAGGCCGGCAACGCGTTTGTGACTCCTGAGTTGCAGACGTTCATGGGCGGCGATAGTCACTTTCCATCAGGTGACCCGTCTGCTCGTCTGCCCCTCTAACATAAAAAATAATAATAGAGTTATTAAATAAAAATAAATATACATACCTATTATAATAGATAAATTACACTCAGACACAAAACAAATAATCGTGCACAATTATCTGTCCTCAGTGGGAATCGAACCCACAATACGTGGCTTAGTATTAGTAGTCAGGATCAATAACCACTAGACCAACCGTCAAATAATAAAAGTAGTATGCTGGCCGCGAATCATCAGATATGATCACCGATCCTGGTCATAGGATTCACTTTACATCAGAGTGACATGACATTCGTTCGTCAACATGACTGTGAAGTAACGGGTGTCATGTCCCTCCAAAGGGAGGCTCCTCCGACGAAGTGAGGTGATAATGCCTGACGGACCGCGGCCCAACGGTTAATGTTAGGAGGTTGTATATATATTAATCAGCGGGAGAACTTTCATTACGCGATTCAGGATTAGTAGTTACTCCGTAGTTCGGTGTGTCTTCGTTAGATGGCACTAAAGTATGTTTTTGTTTCATTGTATGTGGAAGTCGCCACAGGCTGAATGATATTCCTAATTTGGATTTGTGTTCTTTAGTACCTACCCTACTCACCCTAGCGGTTTCATCACAACAATAACGTTTTGTATATTATTTATGTATATATAACTTAGCAAGTATATATGTATGTGTATTTCAGTACGTATAGATGTAGGTGCAGATGCAGGGTACTGGTGCATAACTATGTGACTATCTAGTCACATAATTATGCACTATCCTAAGGTAGACTGGGCGAATATCCTGTGGCTTTAAGTCTACCATTGTTCACTTATTTGTGCATAAAAAATTAAAATAAATAAATAAAAAGTTGCTTTACCAATAGTAAGTTAGTAAAATATAATGTCTTTTTTTGGGACTAATCCCACCCACACGCCCACCACTGTAACTCCTGTACACCAGGATCCATAGCAGTGAACCACGAACACACCGAGTTATGACACTCGGGAAGTCCCAGGCAGAAATTAAAGTGTCTTGGAACCCGCAACGAAATTAATCAGAAGAAAATTGGAGGAGTTGGAAATACAGTAAATCCACTTCCCTCCTTAGCAAAGCGGGAGACAAAATGAAGTAAAATGGGCATACAGCCTTTTAAACAGGGAAGCACCATGGTCACAAAATATTACGGGTCCTACGTGAGCTATATTTGATTTCTATAATATGTATGGCAGAAAATATAATGTCTAGTGTCTATTCGACTGCTCCTCACCGCTTCAAACTGCAATGAGTGTTATGGGTCTATTGTTGCTCTGACTCTGCATGTTCTTTGTGTCCCTTTCTATGTATGTTTGTAACGTCCCCACGACACAGGCTATATTCCTAGTGCGGGAGTTGTCTTAAAAAAAAGAGAATGAGATAAGAGATGATTGATCCGTCACCAATCACCGGACATACACACTATTTACAGCACCACTACTGTACGTGTCAAGGAAAGTACTGATTAATAGTTTTTTGTTGCTCTTTTATGCAAAAACGGTTAAACAGATGTGGATGAAAATCGAAACACAGGTAGTTTATGACCTGGTTTGAATAGTGGTATTATTTATACCGTGACAAACGAGGTCCACGCAGGCTAAGCCATGGGCAAACAGTTCTAAAGAAGGGATTCCCTTGTTTCAGATTTAAAGGTGCTAGAACAGTTACCGGGTACTCTAGCTAGACTAGAAGCTGACGTGGCCGCCCTCAGGAAGGCTGTCGAAGGAGACCGCCGGATACTTGATGTAAGTTTTAGTTTTTTATAATATAAAAAAGAAATATTTGCAATTACCACGACTGTCACTTGATTTTTATATTTCTATAGCGTTAGTAATACTTACATCTTAAATATGACATGACTTGTTTAAAAATAAACTTGAAATAGTGTGCAAACGAGCAGACGGGTCCACTGATGGAAAGCGACTCCCGCCGCCCATGAACGCTCACAACTCAGAAGTCACAAGCGTGTTGAGTTAATGGCACATCAACTATCTACACTCTTTAAATATCTACTTGAGAAATAACAAAAAAAAAATGTAATAAAGAAAGCCATACGGATTTCTTCACGATTACCTTCGGAAAGTAAGGCGGCCTTTATTTTGGGTCATTTTTCAACAAATGAAGTGTTAGTGAAGGTTGAATGTTTTGTATTGAAACAATTTGTCGTTGACTGATTTAAGTTTTGTTTCGTCTGGGTGCTTATAACGAAATATTAATTTATTTTTATAGCAAGTGTCGCAAGGTTGGCGCTGGCCCTGGCAGGAGCTGAGTCCGCCGACGCTAGCACTTCTCTTCATCTGGCCCTTCGTGGCGTATAGAATCGCAGCCAGAATCAACAGGCGTAACACGTAACGTAAGTCATGTTACGAGCGGAGTATACAATAAATAAAAGTAGTCGGTTAATTACTTTTATTGCACTCTATTTACAAACACTCACTATTACAAACAAGAAATAGTTATGTAACTCGTTAGTCGCACTAGAAATTCGCTTCGATGTTAATTCGCTGTGTCGTAAAACGATACTGTCCCGTACGACCAACACGCTCCACTTTTTTAGTGCTATCGAAATTACTAGACTAATCCCGAAGATCCGATGGAATTTTCCAGACAGAGCCACGTACAATAAGGAATCTACAAATTCCTATAATCTTCCAATATTTGACACTAGATGGCACTGCAAGCAAGTATGAATTAAGAACCATAATCTCAATGCGTAGCGTTGTGCCCCACCTGATACTAGATGGCGCTGTGGTTCGTGGGTTCAATTCTCACTCAAGGCAAATAATTGTGTAATGAGCACGATAATTTATTGTGCCTAGCTGTATTTTATCTCTATGTTTATTACTCTTTTCGTTTCTAAATACATAGATTTGTCTATAATTTACGTACCGGAAGACAAAGCGTGGGTAGCCTCCCCCCACAAGGATGTCCGACGACCTGGCAAAAGCGCGGCAAGCCGTTGGTCGGTTGTTGTGGCGCACCTTGAGGGGGGGAGGCCTATGTCTAGCAGTGGACGTCTTTCGGCTGAGATGATGATGATTCATAGGTATTTTTTTATTTTCAGGTCTCAACTGTGTACATCACATAGTGTTAAGAGCACGAGGTCGCGTCACGTGACTGCGTTTTGTGCGCGGACGCAACGACTACACAGTCCATGTTGGTGGTTACTATATAATTAACTATGAGATGACACAGTGTATTTTTTAACCATGGTTTTTTTATTATGTTTGGTACGTCAGAACTGCGTCATTTGTCTACTGATTTGGAAAATTCTTTTTTTCAAATTAGTTCGCAGAACATCAGTTAAATTTTCATTCTTAGCCCACTTCGTTTTTTTTTTAATAATTGTCAGGTAAAATTTTTACCAAAGGAAGACAAAATATGAGACCTTGCTATTGTCAAATAATTTACTTTCAAAGGGTGTGAAATTAAAAATAATATCTATTAGTCTAATACTAATTCGATCAAATTAATTTTATGGTTTATGTTATAAAATAATACACTGTGACATCACATAATACAATAAAGGTTAAGTAAAGATTGGTCCATTTCAAATAATTATTTGTAAACACAGTCATAATTTCTTTTTAACGTGAAATATATTTCACAAAACTTGTGTTTTATTATTTTAAAAAGGTGTTATTATTATTTTTTATTTTGAGTAGGGTAGGGGGTTACAATACTGGTAGCATTTGAGAGTCATTTGTAAATTATACACAATCACAAATATACTTAATGGTGTGTTAGTCGACATTTTTGCAGTATATCTTTTAAAAACTTTTTTCTTTAATGATGCTTACTATGCAATGCTAATGCAAAAGCATCATCAATGGCTAAATATTGGGTTGAGACTACAGGGGTGGCTACCCAGCACGGAAACAGCAATTGGCTGTATAGCTTGGGTTTGTATATTGCAAATAAGACTTATAAGTTTGTATGGTTATTTATACAGAGATAACAATATGTACAGAGTGGGAAGGAAATAAAATTATTTATCCATTAATTGAAAGAAATACTTAGATTTGATTTTTTGCTATAATTACAAACGAAGTAATATTGGCTTGTCGACTAGCGTACCCTTAAATATTGCATTTCTATAGCTGTGAGGCTGATCGAAAAAAAAACATATTGGTATATTTTAGATTTAATAAAAATTGTATTCAGATATGAAGTGACGCCTCGACCAAACGCTTTTTTTTTATAAAATAGTTGGGAATAAACATGGCAATACAGAAACGGATATGTCAAATCAGTAAATTAATAGTAGTAGTAATTGTTTTTAGAGTCTAATTGAACCCCCTTTACGTTATGACCACTACCTTTTCGACCAATAAAATGAATTACACAAGAAAAAAAAAATAATAAATGGTAGCTCAATAATATATTTGCTCATTTCATATTAAGCCTCGATTAAATAATCTCCAACTGATAATTTTATTTAAAATTAAATGTAACAATAGCACAGATATATAATAATGTATGTATATATACGGGAATTGTATTATATTACATAACCTTGAAATGTCGTAATATTGGGACTTTCTCTATCATTAAATGTAAATTGGGTATTCCGCCGGATTTCTGAAAAAAAAATTGAAAGTCGAAAATCGAATGTTGCACATTTTTTAAAAGAACCTCATTGGTATCATGTGAAAAAAGTTTCACACGATAGAAGAAAAGGTCTCGCAGAAAAGTGTTTTTAAACAATTCTTTTCTTGCTTTTCACCGAGTGAGTGACGTCACCGGAGCCTAAATCCTCTGCTATTTCTAGGCTAGGGGGAGAATACTCAAAGGCGTTGCACCTTAGATTCTCGAGTTTGCTCTTAAACCATAAAAAATGTATTAGAGACCGTGTCGAGCCATGTTTGACTTAACCGTCACATATGCAATTGGCAATCTCTGTTTTATTTCTCTCGTCGAGGCAGTTCTAAATATATTGGTCGACAACTCACTCATACCAAGAATTTAAACATTGTTACCTATATTTTTAGTTTTAAATTTCACATAATATTTTCTTCTAAGTGGTAGGATTTATAGTTTGTTGGTAATCTTTATGTGATATGTAGTTTAGTTAAGTACAGTCAGCACTATAAATTTTTAACAAATAAGTATACTGATGAACCATACTATATTACTACTCTATTTACTATAAATAATCTAATAATGGTCGAAACCTCTAATGTCAGGAGATTATGATTCAGTCTTCTTTATCCATACATTGTAGAGTCCAGAAAACACGTTTCTTGATTGATCTTCGCTTTTTTTGTTTAGGGAATTACGCGATTTTTAATTAACAGCGATAGTCTTTTTAGCTTTTTTCTATGATTACTTAATAATGTCTTTATTCATTATTACATTTTCGTGGTAACACGCCTAGAATCGAATTTAATTAGAAGAGTTTACACGATGTATTTATATTGCTGACTGTATATTTATTTGTAATAATTAATTATTGTGCAGTTATCTCCACCTTACGGCTAAGTCAGATGTAATTATTTGTTAATAAAATAAATAAAATGACACTATAAAGCGACAATTGCAGTCACTTCTTTTTTTTTTTGTGGCACAAGGTGTGTTTCATCCCTCATCTTTACACTCACTTGGTACATCAATCTATTTATAAATTCGAAATGTGTCAAAATTATTCTCTTGTTCCGATTTGATTTACTTAAGATATAAATGACATTTTACTTGAAATTGATTGTTATATATAAATGTTTAAAATAATTACATGTGTAAAAAGAAAGAAAAAACGAATAGTTTCGAAGCAAACATTTATTAATATTGAATTAGAAGTCTTTAAAGTCTTCATGGCATTCGACCAGCCAATCATGTCCCGATAAACAATTATGCCTCTGTTAAAACTATCTGTCTAATCCAGTAGTCATGACAGAAAAGATAAGCGTATATTTTTTTTTTTGTGTTGCATCGAAACTATATAATTATTAAAATACAATATAATGTTAGAAAAAAAAATGTGGATACTGAATTGTGTGGCAATTAATATTATTATAATTATGAAATAAAAGGGATTTTTTACTGATACTCGTATTTTATTTTATCGAAATAAGCTGTCCAGTACACAGATATAAACTAGAAGAACCACAAGTATGAAGTCGAAACGACCTTAACCTTTTAAAAAGTGTGCCGCCGCCTAAAGACACCTACGACTGCATTCCAGGCCTTTGAAGTGGAAGGTACCTACACTCTTTGCTTAATTTGCCCGTTTTTGGTGCCATTCCTCTAAACCCATACTGAGTAAGACATCTAACCAGAGGTTTCATGTTTTACAAATAAATTACAACTTTATATAATTGTTTTTTTTTTAATATTAATTATATTTATTGATTATTGAAGTACCTACTGAATAATAATACAATGCATTATTTATATATATTATAGGAATCAGAAATGATTATAACATACACACACACAACAATACAATTCATTATGTCAATTTAAATACTAATATCATCGCAAAAGTTAAATATTGATAATATAGTTAATAATTAAATAGTTAACAAGATAATATTCAGTTACATTGTTTATATATTTACTTATCCTTATCTTTCCTATTCTCTACCATACTCACGCATGTACGCAAAAAAACAACACACACTTACACTTACACAAAACACGTTACATCTGGCTGGAGTACTTAACCAAAATATTGTTAAATAATAACTAAATCTCAGTAAGCAAATTGTTTATTTTGTCTGTCTATATAAGAAAACCATATTGTATTGTTACACTTTTTTTTAGATTTTAGATACCCATATTTGTACCAGGTACCAGGCCTGAAGACTTGTAACACACGTTAAACACAGGCTCCAGTCTCCACGGCATAATTATTATTTTTCCGTTTTTTTTTAAAGACAAATCCCGCATTAGGAATATATCCTGTGTCGCGGGGGACTTTACAAACATACATGAAACGGGCACAAAGAACAGCCAGACTCAGAACAACAATTTGTGGATCACACAAAGTGTCGTCCCATGTGGGGATCGGACCCACAACACTCAGCGTAGTAGTGTGCGGCGTTGCGACCGCTTTAACCAATACGCCATCCGTTCAGTCAAATATTAATGTAAGGAAAAATTGTACTACAGAGTACTGAGTCTGTAAGAATGTTTGTGAAGAAAATAAACAGCATATTATATATAACTTAAATCAAACAGATTTATATTAAATTGATGTTAGCTGTTTATTGATAATTAATTTAAAATGTCCTACAGTATTACCGAGGATGTCTACATTATTAGATCTATTTGAAACCTCATTAAAGTGGTTACTATATCCTAATTATTATTGGAGAGTGTTTACCAAGCTTTGTGCGACAGCAGGGAGCTTTCAGCAGTGAACCTGGATAACGAGGTAACCTGCTAGGTACATCAATATGGCATTTACTCAGAAGACTCGGACATTTCGTTGTTACAAAGGTAAAATAAAACTCCACAGATCACAAAAACATATTTCTTATATTCAGTGTGACAAGTTATTCGAGTTACAATATCCAACGAAGCTAGGTAATGTGAACTTAAGCTTATTTCTAACGCATTTGTACACTCACGACATGCGACCAGCGTGTGGACTTGCTATTAGACGGATTTAGAAATGAACAATAAGCTGGAGATACATATGATATACTACTATTAAGTTTTTACCCCTAAGTAGGGTAACATTCAGAATTCTTAAGCAGAAGATATGTTGCCAATGAGTTATAATTATGTAAATTATCAGTCTTCAGAAAAAAATCTGTTACCAGTTACATAAATTCATACAGTTTTTATACAGTGTAAGGGACGTCGTAACTAATACTGAAATAGTGTATTCAGACCATGATTCTGAGTCGAAAATTATTAGAATTTTCCGGAAAATTCATCATTTTTTTTTATAATTTTCATTTTTTTTTGGTTAAAAATGATAAAAAGTGATACCACAATGGGTAAAAAGAATTTTACCGAAAACAGTTTAATAAATATACAGTCAAAAACTGCAATGTAATTAATCAAACAGCCGAAGTATCTTCCCTTCCCTTGGCCGGTCTTCCCTCCTGCCGCCAACTTATGATAATGTGCGTAGACTGT